AAAAAAAGAAACGTCTCACAGCTGTGTTGTCCTCAAGAGGTACCAAGAGAGGACATAAAGGTGTGATAAATGAAAAGTGTTCCTCCGTGTTTCACTCCTGATTTGTGTGGGGCTGTAACAGAATGGTGCTTCTGGCTCTGTGTAGCTCTTTCCCGTGTGCGTGTCTCCTCTGTAATGGAAATGTGTCTCGGCCCCGAGCGCCCCAGCTACGGCCTCATGGGGATCTGTGTGCCCTTGGGGTGGTTTGGTTTTGCTCTCCGCTCGGCGCTGATAATGGTGGCAGTTGAGGACTGCAGGAGAAACTGTGTGAGCAAAGAACTGCCCTCCCAAACCAAACCGTGCTGACAGCAATCCTAAGGCTGGAGGGCCTCAGCTCTACTCCGTTCTCCGTAAGAGCGCCGCTGCTGGGCTCGTGGTGAGGACCCTCTGGGCTGTGTTTTCTAGTTCTGTGGATTCACTCTGGTTTGGTTTAAGTAAAGGTAGTGTCTGCTGTGGCATGCTGCGCCTCTTTCTCTCTGTGCTGTAGAGTCCTTGGGCCACGGTGTGGTGTTCTTGATGTAATGAGCTCAAGCTGTTGCTTGTTTCTGGATGCTGCGTGTTTTCTCCAGTGAGCTTTGTTTGTTTTTTTTTTGTTTTTTTTCTACACTGTGTGATGGTGTGAGGAATGTGCAGAGGCAGGTCACGGCCCATTCGGGATTTCCGCCGCAGAACGGTCCCTGGGTTTATGTGCTTGGAGCTGGGAAAGGCCACGTTACTGCACCCCCTCCCCGTTCCCAGCCGCCTGCCAGGCGAGCCCGGATGCATCTCAATAATGCACGGCCCTGCGACCGCTCTGCACATCTACGTATGTACCTTGGAGGAGGGCTCTGCCCGTGCTCTGGGGATGTCATGTAATGCCATTGCTTCAGCACCCGAGGAAAAGGGAAGGGGAGGGGGTGGAAGGAGGGGGAGTCGGCGCTAAAAAACCACACCCCCCCCCCAAACCCGTTGTTAAATCCCTTCCCCTCTGATTGCAGACACGAAGCAGCCGCCCCCTCTGCTCAGGGATTGCTCAGGGATGGAGGGGAGGCAACCCCGGTCGAGGATGAGACGCTGGGGTGGGAGGGCTAGAAAGCAATGGCACTTTTTCCCCAAACCAACAGAGGCTCCTCGAGGAAGGGGGGGAAAAAAACAAAAAAAAAAACCACACACACAAAAAAAAA